TTATTCGCTAGTGACGAGTCCTTAGTGCAGCTTTGTAGCTTTGCGACCTTGAAGCTGAATTCTTCAAATCTCAGATCTATCCTGCACCTCGTCGATGAGTATACATATGGAAGTAATTTTGCTAGTCACTTCGTGAGACATTCTATGTGAAACGCATCGCATAGACGCAAATGCTGGGCCTTTCTTGTGTCTTTCGATATGGAATTATATACATATACATGTATATAATACAAAATTCTTCCGAGGGCATCATAAAACAGGTTTTCATAGTAAATATAAGTAATTAGCAGCAATCATTATTCTGTTTAGTAAAGGTGCTCTAATTAAGTTACATATGATGTTTTTAGACTTTGTACGTATACTGGTATAATACAATGTATAATGATAATAAAGTAAATCACACAAGGTGGAGCGAAAGTCTTCTCACAATTTTATAATTTTCACTATACTTCTGTTTACTCTTATTTTTACCACATTTTGTTTACCTTCTAGTGCAAGATGAGGACTCGCAAACTGTCAGGTAACACGTGCTTCCCCACTCTGTGTAATGCTACCTGCTACGTGCGTTGTCATATCCCACAAAAACGTCTTCAGCGAAACAGACACTACTTATCGGTGGTGGCGTATATCGAGCCTGTTGGGGTTCAAGCTGACGTACTCGATTTAGCGATGCACAAATAGGTCTATATAGACCGCCCATAACACCTTTCTGTGGGTTTGACCATTCACTGCCCATTTTACGCAGAACGTTTTCTCAATAGTATGATCCAATATTTTCACCGATGCTAATTAGCATACATGACAGTAGACAGATAATAATACATTTACACTAGCCGATTCGACCACCGTGGTTAAATCGAAGTCTGTATGAAAAAAGTAATAGTCCTCGTATGCTTTTCGGAAGTGTTCGCAGGGGTATTATCGATGATCATTATCATGCAGTGCTCGATCTATGGTGCGGACCAACTTAGAAGTGTAGCCTTGGCAAGGTCGAACACAACACCCCACGTAAAACCCAAAGGACTCGAAAAAATGACGACCTCAGTAACATCTCTGTATGTGTCATCAGTTTGCTGAGGACAACAAAAACCGTCGAGGAATGACCCCTGAATGATTATTCTGACCGTTTTGTAGTCGGGTGTTGATTTAAACATCTATCTATAAGTATATGATACTAACGGTGCAATAGTTTGAGCAATAATGTAGAAAATATTAAATATTTACGCTAGTTTACTGTTGCGTTAGTAAGTTTAACTCTGTGAAAGTAATCCGTAAAGAGCCTGAAGTCAAATCTCTGAACATAGAAAGTAATCCTTATTGCGTACTTATTGTTTGTGAACTGATCCGTGTCCACGGTGGAGAGCATCAGATGGTTTGTGAGTCCACACCGCACGTATGGTAACGGTGTGCGCTAAATTTTCTATATGACGCCATCGGATGCCGCTGGTATAAGAGCAAGCTTCTTCTATCGGTGGATATGATGCCGAATCGAAGGTTTTTAATAGTGTAGTTCGTATTAGGAAATAATGAATCGTTACTCCAACATAATGTAGCTAAAATGTTTCGATTTACAAACTAGTACAATGCGGTGCACGGGCCATTTTATGACACTCAGCAAAAGTAACGCAGATTCAATAAAACAGAGCAGCTTTCTGGCGGATGGTTTATGAACGTTACTTGAAGTGAACATAGACGATTAAAGCTATCATCGCTATCTATCTAAGTATCCAGTAAAGCTAAACTAAGTAATTCGAATACAGACCGTGTACGACATCCCGACAGGCATTTGGAAAATTATAGCAGACTTGTGAACCATGTCACGATAGAATACGTAGCCAAGAAATGACTCATTAGCTCTGCGAGATAGAATTATGTCTTCCTTTTGGTTCACGACTGAAATGATATCAGTTAACTGCACTTCAATGGCGGTTCAGGAAAGATGAGCTCGTCAGCTCTTAGTAAAAAGAATCTTCATAATCGTTTTATGACAAATGGAAAGAAGCATTAATGACTGAGTCGGTTGGTCTGACACGACGCGAATTCATCAACAGTTCGAATCCAATGAATTGGGTCTCCCACTGAAAGCAATCGTTTTTACATTACCGTAGCCATTGCGTTTGGTTGTACGTGCGTTCAGGTAGCGTCTACCCTATTTCAATAGGGTTTGCTCTATACGTTGCCTAGTTAAGGCAATTTTACAGTTTTAACTGCTAACAGATTCGATAAACTCGAAAAAAATACGGATCAAAATGTTCAGCACGATGCCTGTATTTAGGCATAATCGCCGTTGGTTGGAGATATAATTGCTTTTTCACGTGTGTAGTACTGAACGAGTAAGGTCGACGTTTTTATTTCGATCACAATTTTGTCGATACGTTTGCTTTAGTAGGTAAGACTAAAAGTAATAATATCGAACAATCTACTTTAGATGCGCGTTGGCCCATCCACTGTCAACTAGTTCTTCAGCATCTGTACATCTGAATAAAATAGCTTTCTTTATGGCGATATAGGCGCTAGCCCACTACAAAAGGGCGTATCTTAAAATCATGGTGACATCGACAATATTATGCAGCTGACAAGGCGCTTAATAAAAGAAACCTTAGGGTTGATATACGACGCTGACATTACCCATATTATTCTTGTATAACGACTTGTGCCTTGCGTTTTTCGTTACGCCGCTAGCAATAATTGACGCAAAACTCGCAAGCAGTTAGTAGTCTCTCGCGATTATTATGATCCCAGAGGCATATACAACACCATAGTAAATTCGGTAATATTTGTTTGACTAACGGAAGCAATTCCATTAGATGAACCAAGCTTTTGAAGGTCTCCTCATAGAATGGCTGTTTATATATTTCAGGTCAAGTACGCCTAAAGGTAAGTATTTCGAAAATAATCGCGTAGTAGCGAGGTTGATCCATTCCATTTTCTTCAATAGTACTGCTCCTGGACCCTAAGAATGAACTACTCCTTTTAGAGTTGCGCCATTACTGCCTCGTAAGATTTTATAACATGCACAAATAATCCCACGTTATTTAGCAGTGTTTTTGTTACCAGAGTCTAATCGGTGCACATGTTGGGCGTACGTCAATAACTCATTGTTTCTAGGTTATAGTAGGGTCCCCGTGATGATGCGGCGCTGACAATTTGCCCGCTAAATTTAGCGACTTAGTGAGTAAAGCGGTTTAAGTTTGAAAGAGCCAGTGCTGAAGCAATGCTTGGTGGGCTTAGCTAGACGAAAGCCTCGAAATATTTAACATATTATTTCATAGGTTCCACTTTAGAGGAAATAAAAAAAAAAAAATGACTTGGTCCTACGCAGTTTGAAACCACCGCAATGAGTTCCGCTCATTGATAAAAGTCACAAACGATTCTGTTTGCAGGGTATCAGCTAGCGACACTGTCGGCGTAATTCAAATGCAGAGATATTTTCTTAGTAACTGATAAACAATTTCTATCGATTTCTATTTGTATCGATGCCGACATGCCAAATATTGCGAAAAAACTAAGAAAAAAAAAACTCGGCATCTGAGTAACAGCAGACTAAAGCTTTCTAGTGTAGCTGAGCACGAGAGCTATGGCGTGCACATAATATCCATACACTGATAGCTAAATATAATAGACATGTAAATGCTTGTGTTCGTTACGCAGCAAGATGAAGTAAAATAGATTGATATAGGTGTTCGATAGTATAGACCAGCATACAATTGGCTTGCTCTCGTTCGTTAATGCGATACTATATCAACTGATATACGTTTCTTGGAAGGTAGCCCAGTGATTACTGACGCGGTATCGCAATTATAACGCTGAACATAGAAGTATATATGAGCGTTGATAGTGAGGGTTATGTTTGTACTGGGTATTGTAGAAGCCCATTCGTAGTTGGGGTCAGATGTTCGCCTCTTGAATGAGCTCTCGTGCCTACGTTCTAACACCATGTTCTATAATATACTGTTATTTATTAGTGACAAATGCCTCGTTGTATTTCATTCAATGCTACCCTCCGCTTTCAAAGGGGTGCCGAATTAACTTGCAGTAAATGCGATTCTGATTACCCATTTAATTGAATCAAGCATTGAACGCTCCTAAAAGGACCAAGCTACGATCAATATTTTTAACAGTTTTCATGCCACGAAAACAAGGGATGATCTGTTGCCTCATTGAACTGATGGCGATGGTGAACACTCGCGTATGACGGTTACGTATATTGTTTTTTGCAGCAGTGTCCAGAAGCAGCTAAGTCCCCTTCCTGTCATTGTTTCGGGATAAAAGCTCGTTGAATTTTTAGCGTTTTCGTCATCAGGCTTCACGTAAATAGGGCCAAGACGCGTCAGTGTTCTGCCTACATCTCTACATAGAAACTAAAATAGGATCGCCTTTTCCAGTGTACTAACTGATCTGATAAAAATTCAGCCGAACGATAAAAACCTACGCTAAAATATGACACGAATTAAACATGTGCCTAACTCACTCTGATAATGTCTTCTTCAGCCCTGCCAGCGATAAGGACCCGGGATAGGCTATTGCACATTCTGGCATTCTACCTAACCGAATACTGATAATTTATAACACCTTAGTATTGTAAATTGTGGTCGCTATAGCTGCGTACGAGCAACAAATCTTCGCAGGACAAAGCTAGGCACCTGTGTACGCGCTAATTATTCCTCAAGAAAGCAATAACAGTGACTAAATATTGCAGCGCTGATGTCTCTTAACATGATCATTTTAACACAATGTTAAAATTAGGCGTGCGGAAATACCGGTCATCGACGTAATCATGTATAAACATACCTCTCAATGATAATTTCGTGCTAATTACTAATTAGTTACTTTAAATAGATTAAATATTGTAGTGTCTTATGTGATTTTATCTAACTAAACACCTTGTTTCCGACAAGCAGCTCCATTCATTTTATCCAGAAGGCAATCATAAGCGCATGTATTAACATAGCTCTGTTGACTCGCATTGTACCGCGCGTAAAAACAGATTGACAGTTTACCTGCAGTCGACAGATTTGCGTAGAAGCTCCCGCAATAAAACCCTATTCTCAAAGGGAGTTGGGGCAGTTACCGTTGCCGGACTTCTGTGGTATGAGCTCGAAAACTGACGTGGTAGATGGCATAAGCGCGTGGTATATAAGTCAGTCATTGCAGCGAGAGTGGCTGGACAGAGTCCGAGCTACGTAAGACTCAATTTTTACTGGAAGTGGCTTCGGTCCGAATCAGTTTACATCTTAACTCGCAAATGAATCTATCAACACGATTGCATCAAAAAATAAATGTATGTTATTTCACAAAGCGAGCAATCCAAAATTATGATAAAATGTTTGTCAAAAATCTGACGCAAACGAAAATATACAAGGCTACCGGGCAGATCTACTGAGCCTACCGAGGAAAACGCAAATGAGTGGTTGTTATTATTAGCTAAAATCTGTTCCCGTCAGAATTCGTAGCTAGATAAACTAACTAACTAATAACATCAATGCTTTAGACAGGTTAACAATAATTAGCCCGCCCAAAATCGGAAGTTCTCTGACATGAGAAATGAACTACTCTCTGATGACAAAAACGAAAAAATACCTTACTATAACAACGGCTTCAATTACGTTACAGTTAATTATTGTTACATGTTGTCCGTCTGACGTTATCCTATGTACACGGCGACACTCTGTTCTGACTCTTTAACGTCTGAATACGTTTGCACAACTTTACGTTTACCTAAGAACTTACCACATAACAAGGGAGCCCGATATAGTTGCGGCGGCCTGTGACGTCTTCCCTCATTAGAATTATCCTTTGAAGAACATTACAGCTGAACTCTGCTTAATTACGAGGATCGTTTGGGCGAGCTTGACAACGTGACAAGCCAGCAACTGTTGACTTTTGGATACTTTTGTCCGTCGTTATTCAAAGAAACCGAGTAAAAATGTTGACGGAGTGATTGTGGGAAAAATAATAGCAAATGGCAGTATGCAGTTGTGACATAGAACTATTAACAGTATCACAGTGAGAATAGGAGACCAGGCAAGGAGAGAAGTTCGACGTGCGATAGTTGCCGCCCTTTTCCAGGTGACGTCGATGATCGCACAAATGCTGGTTGTGAGAGGCCTGAAAAACAAGGAACAAACTATCAGTTTATTCACAGAATACGTATCGTACACACATCATCATTGTTATTAGAGACGTCAACAAAATGTCACGTGGCCGTACAGCTCAAGTCAGTAGACTTCAGTTTAATGTGCCAGTCAAAGTCATCGAGATTCCTGTTTGCAATTCCCTACGAGACATGCGTATTTAGAATATCTATGATAATCCGCGTAGCGGAAGTGGGATTGCCTCCAAAAGCTTAGAAAAACATAATGATTGTCAATTCCTGGAATCCGTATTGAGCTGCACTTTAGTAACATTTAACTCTGTCCTCCTTTAGTATCGAGCTCGATGTGCTGAAATGGAGTAACATTATTTGCTACATTCTTAGTTAGAGCGCTTTTACTACAGGTTTCAGCCAACGCATCCTGGCTCTAGAAGTCGAGCTTAATGGCGGCACGGCTTAACGAGAAGCGCAGACTCGAGAAGTTCACTACAAGCGAGCCATACCATCTTCCAAATGCTTTTTAGTATAATAAATTGATTGCAGAGAGAAAAGATTTTTTAAAATGTATATAGATCGTTTAAGAAGATCTGAATAGAAAACATCTCATAGTACGACTGGTGACGTGACAGGTGGCACGTGGTAACCCGCAGCGCCTAGTTCGTGATGCCCTCCCGAAGCTCTTACGATAGAGACAGCGTAGAGACAATTCAGCAAAAACGACGATTATTTTTGGCATTGACGAGCCAATTGTTTCGCCGTTGATCGCTCCTGTCACAACTATCGCTATCACTCTGATGCGCGTGCAACTTCAATGACTCCAATTGACTCTTCCTAAGCTAGGTTCAGTTTTCTACTATTGTTGCTATATATATATATATATATATATATGCCAAACAAATGTATTGAGAAATACTAATGAGTTACTGTGCCGGTACATCGGAGATGCGTTCTAAAGCCACTCAGCTCGTTAATTAAAGGCGACTAGTCAGCCCTGCCATCAAACATATCCTTAAGCTAGCCAACCAAAAATGTGAGCAATGTTGAAATTTTAAAAAAAAAAAAGGGCAATTTTGTTTTGCTACAGTTAGCTACAGTTGGGCTGTTTAAGGCTACGTATGAATAAAAGCTTATTGACGGAATAATATCGATTAGAGACAATCGGCCATTACTCGATTTTACAGAATCCGGAAGACTTAACATTATTATATGTTACACTATTAAAGCTGACTGTAAAGCAACACTTTCCATTTTCGTTCGATGTATCGTTCTTATTTATAGCGATACTTTGTCGGGGTGATAACGAGTTATTCATTATGGTCGTACCATAGAATGTCTATAATTACACTGTACACACCGTCTCTTTCGTTTCTATTTTGTCATACAAAAGCTGGGTCGAAACGCTAGGTGTAATAGTACAATGGTGGTCATAAGGGCACGAGTATGGTTAAATCGGCTTTGTTTCATGGCCGTCCTGCCCGCCTGCTGGTACTAGGAACTTGTTACTACTACTACTACTACTACTACTGCCCAGTTCGGCAATAAGCACTGGCTACTACTTTCCTTTCTTAGATTTGCCTTCGATGTCTGGGAACCAGCCGTCCGATGGCCTGTATAATGGTGCTGCCGAACGTACCCGCTGTCCCTTTGCTGCGCAGTACTGCACGATTTTGATGTCCAATTGCTCATTGCCTATCTGTCTGCCCGTCCGTCACACAGTTCATCTCTATGGCTGGTTTGTCAAACCACCTGCCATTGCAGATGCTATCCGCTTGCAGGCGGATCGAGAGTCCCAGTAGGAGAAACAGGTGCTTTTCATCTACGTCTCTGCGTGAAATATAACCGGCGATCCAGGTAGTGACGGCTAGATGAGATTTAAACTCTGTTTAGTATCCCAGCGTTTTACTGCTGCCGACGGTCGTCTTAGGGTTGACCGGAGTAGCTGATCTCTGATAACTGATTTCGTCATCGTGTGAGTCGATTCATTCATCCATTCACTGTAGTATAGCACCAGTTAGTATCAGGTTTAGAGGTCGCCTGCTACTGTTGTAGCTTTCGGGGGTATCTATGGCTTAGTTTTCGTTTTGTAATGTCAACTCAAGCAGACCATAAAGCAAACGCTATAAATGTAAGACTGAGGCTTGGAAAAGTACACATCGACAATAGACAGCTAAGGCGCAGGGCACGAGCGATATGGCAACGAGACAAATCGGACAATGACACTTCGGTAAAGAGGGCGACGTGTCGGACTAGTAGATAGTGTCGTCCATTCTGCAGTGCAGAACTGATAAACAACTAATAAGTATGCACAGATAAGGACAAACTCATCGTTATACACCATCAACAGCCAGTATATAGGTATAATGCTTATATGCTATAGGCCAGAAGGGTATAATGCTTGAACTACTGAAACGGGCTGTTTCCTAACTGCATCAGGATTTCTTGACAGCGTGATTTTTACGATCAATAATAACAACAATAAACATCACTCAATAGGTTTATACCGTGTAACTCTTACATTATACTTATTGTAAGTGAGTTTTACATGTTGCTGTTTCGTTCATATTGCCGTCGTGGTCGGTCCATGATCACCTTCCAGCAAGGACGTTCACGTTACTTCTCTTCCTCTTTAGACTAACTAGTTCCACTTGGCCGGCTCCATAGTGAACTGGCATTCATTGCTTTGTTCCATTGGTCCAAATAAACTAATTCATTCACTTCATATATATATATATATATATATACATCATGTGCCTTGCTCACGCAGTAATGCGGTACCAGCAAGGTGACGTGACGCTGTCGAACAGAAACGCTACCGCTAATGATCGCCTAAGTAGCTACAGGTTACCACCATTAGCAAATGACCACACTGTCAATTTCTGACTATCAAGAGCTACCAGCCCAGATGAGTTGTTTACGATTCTTATCCATCTTTATCATTGGCATCATACGTGAAGCTGTCATCATCAACCACAACAGATTATCGTAGCTAGTTCTGCCCTCACGGACATTACTTACACAGTTATTTGCGTTTGACAAGGTTGGGCCTGTCATGTCTACTTAATCGTCTCCGGGGGCTTTCACCTGTCGAACTGTCAGAAGTACACCAGCAGGCTCAAACAGTGATTCTAGCCAAGCTCGAATCAGGCCAGGTTCAGTCAGATACTTATTAGTGCCTAAATTGCAACCAATGCTAGGACGGACTGGCAATAATAACAACGACAACATACCCGTCATGCACGAGTATGTTGTCGTGCTTACCACCTTCCAATTCTGATGAACATGAGCTGCCCGTAGTTGAATAACCCTACTTGTTAGCAAAAATAACGATAGTATACATGACTTGAATAAAGGTAATAAGCGTCATCATGGCAGATGAGGCTCACGCGTTTTTCTATTTATATTTAATTTTTAAAATTAACAAAGTGTCCCAAATGTCGAAGTTACTTTCCTGCCCATAGATCTCATGATGGCCACGTGGCAAGTTTGTCAATCCGATACAGTTTTCTATTTATTTATCAAACAGAAGGACTCGAGAAATACATTGTGATGATGCTTCGCACGACGCCGAGCAGCTAGTCTGACAACAGCGCACTCCTCAATCAGCAGAAAAAGCTTAACCACAGTTTAATAATTAGGGCCTCGACTAAAAAAGTTATTCCCTGACTCTGGGCACCATATGATCGTGACAAACGTCCCTATAACATAGGTCTCTGTATTATAAAGTTCGTAATGAACAATTCGGTTCGTCCACAGCCATCACGTACGTCGGTAAAGCTAGAAGCAAACGCTTGTTAAGCTGTTAATATTAAGTACTATTAAAGTAAATACTTCTTTCCATTCAAGAGAATTTATTTGAATAAGTCTTTGTACTGGGCTGGCCAACTGTCGAAGTTCCACCTTTTAATGTTGCAAACAACAAAAGCATTTGTTAAATTTCAATAGCTTAACGATACTGGAGCGTCACACTTCTTAGTCGTTCTTTGTACTATATCTAACCGTTTACTTGTGAGAATCTTGAGATGAACCGATATTTATCGATGACTGGACTGGTTAGTAGCTGACTAAGGAATACTATCATACTGTGCAAGGGTCACGAGATATCTAGGCCAGCTACAATGGTCCATTGTTGCTCTCATTCTTGCAGAATACCCTCCATTACCCCTACTTCCATTTTAAATAGCCACATTAGCATACAGTTCCCACCTTTCTTTTCTGCCGATGTCTTTCCAGTTTTCTGTTTGTTCCTTCCAATGTTTTCCGGACGCCGTTTTCTAAACACTCGTGTTTCTTCTTACCTCGTTAAACGCATGATCCCTTCGTCTTTCAACACCTTATGCATGTTTCCGAAAAAAAGGCCGCTTGATTCCACCGAGCCGCATTTTCTCGCACCGTCTGTCCAGTTCCTCCAACCCTCCACCGCGCTATGCTCTTATGTTCGCTCCTGAAACCTGAAGTGTCGTCATTTCCCGTTTTATTCATACGTTTAGTTGCGTCGCATTGCCGCCCGCTGTCCGCGCCGCTCGCGATATTCCCTACTCGCAGAGACAGTTTTTCTTTGACAGGGACCCACGAAGTGGCAGCATTACGAACGCCTTGTTGACTTTCCCTTAATTTTTGGACGTCCCATTATATAGTCGGGCATAAATGAATATAAAGCTGCGCTTCACAGAAATAAATCGTAGAGAGATCACAGAAACGGCAGCGTTGGGTGCGGCGCGCGCCGAGACTGCCTCGCGAACCTTATCCATCAAACGAATGTCTCTGTAAACGGAATCAGTGTCGCGGCGGCCCAGTGCTTTCATATTTCATGGTAGGTAGAGGCAGTTATGATGCTTCTCCGTGTTATAAACCATTCGTGTTATGATGGCGTGCGTATTTCTAGCTTAGTGCTGCTCCCATGCCTGACAGTTTGGCTATCTTCGTGCTGCGGGATTACTTGGTTTTGCGGAACGTGCTGTATGTCGGCAACGGTCGTGTGTCCACGGTTCTTGACAAACGCCAATAGACTTCTTTTTCGCCGCCTCGATGCCACTCGATCTACGTAAGAGCTAGGAGAGCATGCGAACTGTATGAAGAGTGATAGAGTGAGGTGGCTAAACATTAGAGCGATCAATAACAATGCTATAAAGCAAAAAATCGCCTGTAGAGATAAAGATCGACGATCGTTGGCCGCTACTCCCGATGATATTGTAAGCTATTATATACGGAAAGAGACGAGCTCGATGACAGGGTAGATGTCTTGGATGACAGGGCCAGTCTATTACCTACTTGCATATAGCAAGTAATTCAAACGACATCGTACCAATCGCATTGAAAAGAAAAACAGCAACGCAAACGCTATCACCGCAACACTGCTAAACTGTATATTGAATAGATAATCCCCTTGGCAGTACAATGTTATATGCATTTTTACTGGCTAAGCAAGATTAAGCTAAAACTGTTTAGACGCCTAATGGATATTCAGTATGACTTAGTGGATGGCTTCTAGGACATCTCGTCACTGACCACTGCTACGATGGCCCATTGACTCCCATTAAATGAAGCACGAACGACTGTCGTTGCTGTTGAGTACCGGGTGAACAGACTGGCCAGCTAACTGGAAATATTGAAGTCTTCGAAAATCATCCGCGGATAGGGTAAAAGTTACTGTTTAGGTTAGTCGTTACGCAAACACATTCTTGTAGTCAGCACTGGTAAAAACATTGCAACCAGAGCGGGATTTTGTCAGGCATTATCCTATGATTCGAATGGAAACGGTTGTATTGAATGACATACATATATATATATATATATATAGAGGGAGAGCGAGCAGATAGAATAATTCTACTATAGGAATTCCTAAACAGGTCTTCATTGATGGTATGCGATACTTATGCTGATCTCTCGACTGAAATTGTTCTGTCGTTGACGGGAATTGACTGGCACATTCTTCCTGTCTAAAATCGTGTTTATGTGACCTATAAATAGGCACGCTTAAGGTCGGAACAAAATGTCTTTAGTTTCGCGGCTGTCATTTGAACAGAGCTCGAAACAGCGGACGATGGATAAGAGGAAAAAAATAAAGCAGGCCTCTCTAAAAGACAAAACTGTTGTAAGTGAAATAACACATCAGAGATATATATATCTATATAAAGATATGTATAGTTTGGCGTGTATGTTAGAATAGATAAGAACAGATCGAGCGTTCAGCTAGAGCCGAGGTAAATAGCGGATCGTTTTTTTTCCTATTACACGTGTATATACAGACGTGGCTCAACAATTCGTCTCGATAACGTCATTTTGAGAGAGAATAGCTTCAATTTTTGATTTGCGGCAATAGAACAAATGGCAAAAAGAACAATAGCTGTCTCACTAAGTAGAGAGTACGTGGTACCAACGTGCGGTGTTATGGAGACAGATTCGAAGGGATACTGCTGTGGGTTAGAGAGAAAAAAATCTCGTGTGTGATAACGTTCGAAAGATACGCGTTACGGCGGCATACGACGGGGACTGTTTCGCGTGATTTATATTGGAAGACTGTGCGTAAACCTAAAGAAGACATTTTGCTTTACCTAATCCTGATTGTTTGTACCAGCAAATTGTATGTAAACATGTTTTGGCAATAATCATAACAAAAACAGTAATAATAATAGGCTGTCATGTATCGATTAAACTTATGCATTAATCAATGTAATACTCAGAATATTTGGCGGGAAAAGAGGCAGCTCATTTAAAAATGGTTGGATGACCAAAAGTCATTTATCACAATGGGATAAGACTTTTCTTCGTGGGTGATGGTCTGTGGCTCGCTGGCTTCGCAATTTTTTTTTTTTTTTTTATTATTTTCTATTTCTTACTCAGCGCGGAATACATTTTCGAATAGAAAAAAAACCAGAGAAGATGACATCACATACGTATATTTAACAAAAATTCAAATGTCATATACAGATACGTTCAATGAGAGAAGACATGCAGTGATCAGGCCGAACTGACGCCACATCCTAGTGGGCTTATTTTTTCGCTAGCGCATTGTGCAACATTGTGATCGATCGTCTATATTGTATAGTTATCGCTTGCACCGCGGATGCTCCCAGATTCATTCTGTCTTTGCGGCTATCTACCTGCTATCCGTTGTGCATGCGCGTCATCCATTACATTATCAATCGGCTCACTAAACGGGTTCATTCATCAGTACTTAAGCATAGTCCCATATTTCATACAATGTTTCGTACGTATAGTATAATAAAGATTACAGTTTCACAGATATCTTCCTTCTTATGGCAAGAGCAAAAGGTGACCACTTGTCCAGCCCTTGTGTCTCAGTAACACAAATGTGGAAGGATGCCCTTTTACCCATTTCTACGGAAGACAAAGGGCAGCAGCGACACCCGTCGATGAAATGGCTACTAAGAACTTATGCCTACGAGCGTTTGCAGCAAGAAAGTCAGCTCCGACGTTCTGATAAAGCCAAATATTGTTCTGTCGCATATATGTAGAGATTCTGCAAAGTTAGCACACTCTGCTGCTATCTCATGCAATGCCTTTCTCTTACATTCGCTTCTTTTTAGCTTTCCGTGTTTAGTTAACATAGTGCATCGCTATTGCCGATGCTTTGCCTGCTGCTATTACGGTTGCTGCTAAAACTGATCTATGACGCCAGAGCCGTAGAGGCTGATTCTAAGCGTGTCTTCATACTACCGATAAAACGGAGTTTTGGAAAACTAACTGAGAAAAAAAAGCCAACAATTAAAGACCGCGCGAAAAAGACCTGACGGTAGTAGCGAAAATAGTAACAGCAATAACCACGGCAATTTACAACAATGGCCATGACGATTCTAATATTTGGAGATGTACCCCACCACGTTACTTGACGACCGCAAAAGATCGCATTAGGGACGACAACGAGGACCGCAAATGGGGATTTAAGAAAGATGAATGCGGCGTTGCAGCCGAAATCGTTGAAAAACTCGCTCGTCTAGTAACAAGCGACAGTAAGCCCGTTTCGTAGCTTCTTTCATTCTTATAGTAGATAGTAGACCTCAGCGGTTGTTAGTGATTCATAGTGACATAGGCGGTACGCAAGCCCGTAAACATTACTACGTATGCACAGAGTTACAAGCAGCTGATGTTCAGGGCCATAGGCCTTTGGTTACGTAGACACGAGGCAGAAAAGAGCACTCGTGGATTTTTAAAGTAACAAAGAACACACCAGGGAAGTAGCCGATCAACTTTAAGCTTCCGCTTAGTGAGTTTTTCTCTACGAGAACTTCATGGTAAAATAGCTCTGACATGCTATTCCTCAGAGGCAGATGTTCGCTACAGACGCGACTTGGACGTAGAAGAATAGGCTGCAGTATTTCAAACACGCCCGCGCATAAGCCGACGAAAAACCTCACCCGGTTCTAGATAGCAGATGAATTACACCATGTAATAATGCACACAGTACGTGTTTTGTAACGAGGTAATCGCATGAATTAATTTAGGTGCCAACATTGCCGATCCACCATGCCATAAAGAGCGTTCAGCACCGTCGGTGATAGCCAATATAGCAATGACAGAGAGAAAGAGAGAGAGAGAGAGAGAGAGAGAGAGAGAGAGAGAGAGAGAGAGAGAGAGAGAGAGAGAGAGAGGGAGAGGGAGACCTTTCAAGATTCTCTACGATCATTTCAAGTAATGTCAAGCTTGTTTTTGAAAAACGGATTAGGTGATACTGGCTTTATTGAGGTGTTCATAGTTCCAGATGACGTTTGAACCTTAGTTCGAGCGCAGTAATTAGAGAGTTTCAAATCTACGAATAGAATTCGATTGTTTATCGTAGTGCATACGGTCAGGATTTAACTGTTACGCCTTCATCTGGCTTCCCACACCTTAAAAACGGTTTAAGTACGTGTTGTAGCGGAAGTTGTCAGCGATATTAGATTGAGATTCTATGTCCCCCTGATGGTTTAGTAACTACGCTACTAAGTTTGTCTGCTAAATTTGGAAGCACGGCAGGCTATACGGATTTAACATCGACAACAAACATACGTTCCGCTTTACGCTGACAAGGGGCCCGCCAGCCGTTTGAATAAATGCTTGACTAAGGTATAGAAAGAACAAGTTCGGACTTAAAATTCGAAAACATTTACATTAGAAATCGATAAAGGGGCAGCTTAGCTTTACTGTGGGCTATTTGATAGGTCATTGTTTTGTCATCTTGTTGTTGTCTGCTACTCTTTTTGTAACTCTAGCCAATCTCTTATCATTGATCGCTGGTAAATTCTAGTGATGCTATTATTGCAGATTATAATGTGACTAATATTACTCGCTGTTTATCGACTATAGAGGCCGCGTTAGCAAACCTTTTCCTCCTAACGACTTACTATGATCCATTGTGGACTTCTACTCTTCATCGTCATGCGTTCCGTCTGACAGGAGGCTAAATGGCCCGTCGCCGTGCTGCGAGAAAGCAATAGACGCAGAGATAGAGCAAAGCAATACGGAAAGAAAATAATATACCACACGAGATTCTGTATTGTCGCTAAAAAGTGGTACGGTATTCCATAGTGTGTCGGCGTCGTCAGCTTACCACGCCTCGAACAAACAAGTTCCTATCTAGGAGACGCTTTAACGTTTTTAGATAACGTTGAATTTAACTTAAAAAAGAAAAAATAAACTTTAAAGAAAACTTCAACGTTAAACTCCTATGATGATTACGAACAGTTAAAAGCATTTATACATGCACCATGTGACAATCCGAGCGTTTGTATATATGAGACTTTTTTATAGTGACAACGTATGCTAGGTCATTTTTTTGCGCATGTTTTAGGTGGAGCGTGGTTGCCACGAGCAGCAATCTGTCTATCTTCAAGCAGAGATTTTTGTTTGTACGTGAATGACTATTGTTTGAACATTCTGTTGTTTTTTTAAGTTACCATATGTGTAAGTAATAAGGTAACATCAGCTTTATAGAATGTGTTTTGCTGTTTCTATTTAGGTCAACTTTTGACCATGGTAATTTCAGTTGGCTTATAGCTACGTAGGAAGTATGCTTGTTCTGTTGGGAAATGCTTTTCACCTACCTTTGAAATAATCGCTATTGATCGCCCAATTAATTCCTAATCTTTATCAAGATGAAATAGCTTGCAATATCTTCTTATTTAGTCTTCCTGTTGGTTTTCGAATCCTTCCGCTGTTAGCAGAGCTGATCATTTCGAAATTCGTTGTTACCATACGAATACACCAAGCCTATCTATGCACCCATGAGGTCGTCGCAGCAAAAAATTTCAATCTGTTTCTAACACCAAATCTTCGCAGGCAAAACTTCCGTAATTCGATTTACAGACAAATGCTGACGTTCTGCCATCTACTCTTTCCAACTTCCGCAGTACCACAAATTTTCATCCAAATCAGTCTTCAAGATAAAACGCAATGGGCCCGAAACTTGATGTGGTGGACTCACTGCTTACACACACGTTAGCAACATTACAAACGATTTTAGAGTATGCCTAAACACAGCTTGTTCAG